ATTGCTATTATATATCGAAACTATCGAAGACAATAACGTCAATAGAAGTTTTTACTATATTACGCTCTTTATGAGGTTCAATTGCCACGTATTTCGCCTTCCATTGAGTTTCGATTACGTTCATTACTCCCGCATAGACTCGCGATTCGTTCGAACAGAAGTATTTAATTATCGTGTCATTCCAGCAACGATCATTCTCTATTGCACAGTTTATTATCTAATGCGACCTACCGTGTCACCGCGACGAATATATTACGATACATTTACGTCGATGTTATTTCGTAATGCGTTTCGCGATTGGACCGTGAACATTTAGGGGTATTCAAATTTTTATATCAACTTTACTTTGTACTTTCTAATTTCATTAATATTATTTCGTTAGAATAACGCCTATTTCGTTAGGATATTTTCTCGAATTGGTGGGAAGTAAAATGGCTGCCCACCGACGTACGTTTGCATGTATTTCCATGATATTCATTAGTGATACGAATATTACATTCAGAATCGACAATTTTGCGTTTGGAACAATAATATCGTGCTCGGGCAGTTTTTAATTTCCATGATCAGCCGCAAGACAGAATGACGTTTGTCGAGGGATGATCGACGATCCTTCCTGAGATATGATCAATACCATTCACTTTGCATGCAACCCCGACTAATTTTCACCCAAAGCACAGTTTCTTACGTCGTTTCGATTACTTTTCGAGGGCCACTTCACACTGAACACCAAAACAACTGTTTACTGGCTGACGACTAGCCGCAAGAGTTCTACATATGTACTTAATATGTATATGTATTATGATATTTCTACGCATTGTACGATTTCAGGGTTGTACCCAGTCGAGAAACGAAACGATGCCTTTCGCTTTTCACTGATACAGAATTTATTTCAGGAGTGCGAAGGCTCGCTTAAGCATAAGACAGAACTGATCACTAAATTGGAGGCTAAGACGCTATCGATGACTGAGAGCATCCAAAAAATGGATGAAAAGTATGTTTATTTGTCTTTCATTAGTCTTAGTTATGTATTTCATAAGCACGACTGAATCATCGGTCTTAGATCGTAGCCGAGACGATTGTTACATTCAATATCGCATCGTAATGATTCTGTACAGTTCGTCTCGCTTGAGTTTCACGAATGTACCATTTTCGTTCATCTTAGTCGTACCTTTTTGATCATTGTTTTAGAATCATCACGCAAGTAGCGATCAGAACTTCGGTATCCTGGATGCTTTATTACAACCCTTTACACTCGATTTGCAAAATTTAGCAAAACTACACGATTGAATATCCAGTATCGAATATTGTACAATTCATTAACACAAAGAACGTTCGAATACAATAATTCCGTTCTTCAATCTATATACGACTCTTCTGTAACAACTCTTTAATATTCACAAACTGTGTCGAGTACAAAGGGTTGAACCATATCTACCGTTTCAAAATCTCACAACTCTGATCATTTCCTTGCCATACTCGATTCTCAGTAAGTGTATCGAAAATATTCATACATTTCTCTACTTTCGTAACGTAACATTCAACGAAACTAACCAGAACGCATAAAATTCACATTCCTTCGTACATCAGTTACAAAATTCAGCGTTCAATAATTCTCCTCCGAGGAGCATTATCATCTTTGATATCGTTCACATCGTATCTCCGTACGTTGAGATGACAGTCGAATTTCCAGGGTAACGAAGTTCCCGCGCAAAAATCATCATCCCATTAAAAGTTCTTTAATCGAGAATGATATAATAAAAAGAAATCTCTTCGTTGCTCTGTTTCTGCTCCATGGGACACGGCGAACAGAAACGAACTAAAACACTGAGGAACCTTTTCCGCGTTGTTACGTACTAGCGTTTACGTACGAAAAGTCTAGTTGTTGTGATAAGAAATTTTCTATTAGCCCCGTGTCGCCCGACGGATTCACCGCGGAGTCGAACGTCGGGGAACGGAGACCGGTCACATACGCTCGACGCGACGGCCGTAGCTAGAGGCGATTTATTTTTTACTTAGGCGTCGCGTACCGCGATCGGATCTTTAGCGTAGCATAGTGGATACCAGATGCAGTTAGGAAACGCGAATGACTTTATCGTTAACGGAGATGTTGGCAAACCTTCACTCGACGGCTACTTCTTAACAGTCACGTATACATTATGGAGTATCGATGTTATAGAGTTGTCCGTGTTTTCCCGCAATAATTCGTAGATTCTCACCAAACGTTGGGTAACGTGTGTCGATAGCTGTCGAACGTAAAACCGTAGGATATTATCGATTCCCGGTTACGTTTCCCCTTTTGCTTTTCTTCCCCTCCCTCCAATTTTTGATCGTATCAGGCTCGTGTTTAACTGTACCCGTCGATCGCGATCGTCGTTAGTCGACTCGGACGAAAATCGGCGAACCAGTTTGTCGTATTTAAGGAACTGACTTGCGATCATGTTTGAATCATGTTGTATTGTCAACAACGTATTTCTCGTAGTTGTTGATTTGGTATATATGCATATATATATGCAGATATATATATACATATATAGACCTTTGTTTCGTTTATCGTTACATTTACCGCTTGTGCGTTCACAGACGGCACGGCCGTTCACGTTCCACCGAGAGACTTACAGTGCCATACGAGTATAATTTATATTTTCTCTTTATAAATATAATTATGTATAAGCATCGAGCAAATGGTCGTTATAATCCACCAATACACTACGTGTGCTTGTACCAATGCAACGGAAAATAAATTTATGACTGAAAATAGTTTCCATTTGATTACCCTCAGATCATCTTTGCTTTGTAATAGGGGTGCACGAGTTGATCCAGTTCTAATATCGAGTTGCTTGAAGCTACACTCCCACTTGTGATATTCGGATTATTTATCGATGAGAAATCACGTTTTTTCTACTTTCTTTATTTTTGCCACGTTTTATATTTCACTTTAGTTACTAATGTTGACTCAATGAGTAATAAGTAAAATAATGTTAGATTATCTTAATGCTTGGCGAAAGATTTATATCGATTTCGGATAGTCTATTATTATATATTATTATTAGTATTATTCAGTATAATGTAATTAAATATAATATTATTTAACAATAACAAATTGTTCAATTTCCTTTCGTTGTACTAAACAAACTGGATACAACATTTAACAGGACGTTTTGCTAAATTTTCAAGAGGATTGAACGCAACGAATATTCAAAACAATAAACCGAAAATACAGGGAATATTCTGAAATCAAGTTTCACCGAAAAAACGCTGATTTACTAATCGGTACTCTCAATATCGTATTTGAACATAGACCAAAGCACAAAACAACTGACGAACACGGAATAGAATAACGACCGAAATTTCAACGCAACCAATAATAAGGCATAAGCAAATAATTAAATGAATCCTACCAATTAAACCAATTTTCTATGCGACAAATCCCCGTTAACACGGTCCGCGTTCCCCAAAGCAAGAAGTTCAACCGAACGAGAAATCGCGCTAATGTAACACGCAAATTATTTCGCCGGCCATTTATACAGAAACAACATAACAACATTGGGAAGGTGGCTTCAGGCAATTCAGTCGACTTCTCGACAACCGCGGTCCGAGAACGCATAAAAAAAAGGAAATAGGAATTTCTTATATACGGTTAAACGAGCGATCGCCTGTGACGCGGGTATCTTCGACGCGGTCGTTCCAATTCGCCAAGGATATTCCACGTTGAAAATCGTTCTATTCAACTTTCGTTCGCCATTGTTCTCCGCGAAATATCGAGGTTATGATAATGCGCAAGGTAAGTCGGACTTTCGTCGCGTTAATCGTTGGATTACGAATCAGTCGGAAAAATAAACGGGCAGTGGGGGTGGCCGGGGCTCGCCCCGGCCGAATTCGCCGGGTGAATCCGGCGCATAGAGCCATTATAAAAACATTCCAGCCGTTTCTTCGGTTGGATAATGATATTCGGTCATGAATAATCATAGGAAAAGACTTTCGAGCGGGGACACTTCCGGGGCGGAGCTGATCTTCGCTCCCGTAACTCGGCCGCGCGTCGCGAGGCTTAATATTTCTGCGTAGCCAAGCAGAAAAACTGCGGCGGCCCGCGAATTCGTTTAAACGGGATGACCGTCGTGGTTATTGAATTAGTTAAAACGAGTTTCGGCCGCGCGGGCCAGCCAGCGCCGGGACTAGGCGTGAATGGTTTATACCGACACTGTTTCCTTCGCTTTTCGGCGCCGTTAATTATTACCACCCTCCGCGGAACGTTCATCACTGTTATATGGAAAGGCTCTTTAACATTTCACGTTAATGACTTTGTGAGCTCAATTTGCTGTCGAATGATCGCAAGATAGTGCCTTAAGTACACCCCGAATTCCGCGGTTGCTACTTACGCGCGGATAGTTCCACCAAGAAAGAATGGTTACAGGCTAAACGCTTGTATCTCTTTGCGATTGGTCTGGGTGGTTTTCGACGATAAAACACGTGCATTCGTGGATTCTTCTTTTATGTGACTTTGCTTTTAGCATTTATCGTTGGACTGCAGACGGTTGTACGTGTCACGCGAGTTGATTTTTTCAAATGCAATTCGGCGAATGGTTTCTGTGTTAGATAACGGAATGTATTTATTGAACGGGTTCGGAAAAATGTTCTCTGTTCGAATCGATTGATGTATATATATATATTTACCGTTCTGATGAAGACCATATAAAATCTGCAGTCTATCGACGACATAGATTTAATCAGTATCAATCCAGGTTCATCATCATCAGCTTCATTTCTCATCCGCGCACGCCCAATTCGCCATTCCATTTGCGTCGGTCATGAAAAAGGAGATAGGATCGCGGGAATTGTTCGCGTTACCGAAATTATATTCCGCGGAACGTGAGATCGCGGGCTCTTGTTTGACGGTTAAGTACCAGCGGTTTGGCTTAATCAGGTGCAAGGAAATGGACGGCGTGAGATCTGGCGCGGAGGAGAGGGTGAGGATTTTGGACGCCGAGGCTGCGGAGAGGGAGGCAAGGGCGACCGGGGTTGAGAGGGAATTGCGAGTCGAACGTGAATGGAGGACCTCCTTGCAGGAAGCATCGATTTCCAACGCGGAGAAGATCTCTCAATTACATCAGGAGATTGATCAGTTGCGGCGGGTGTCCGAGGTACGTTGCTCCGCTGAACGTGCATACAAGATGCCTTCGAAGTGCTTGATCGAATTTACCCGCAACGGTTGGACCCACATCGCACGCTCATTTATTTCTTTTATTTAAGTACACCGGCAAGGCTGGAAATTGCAACGAAAACATTCGCAATCGCTGGAATCATTTTTTCTTGTGCATTTTCACCCTGCTCTGTGATTTCTTTTACAACCCTTCGCGACCATTGACCCATGTTGCACACTTATTTATTCTTTTCCGTTTAATTACATCCCTTACGATAAAAATTGCAACGAAAAAATTGGCAATCGCTGGAATAATTTTTTGTTTGGCATGTTAACCTCCTCTTGTTTGACTTCTTTTATAACTACGGTCGTTATAATTATTTTATCATTAATAGTAGGTATATTAGGGAAAATATTCTATGCTCACTTCAGAAATGAATAACGAAAAAGTAACATTTGGCTTTAAATAAGTAAAGTAATTTCAAAGATTGACAAAGGCTCCTACATTTTCGTAACATTTTCGTCGAGCACGATAAACGTTGATCAGAAATTTTTCGAGTTTATTGTAGAACAAGCCCTTTGGTTCTAGCTTATAAGGGATGACTTTCCCATGGCGGTAAAAATATTTCAAGAACACGCAATATTATTTTTACGTAAAACTGTCTGTCCATTCAAGGTCTTTGATACATTTCCGACCCCCCAGCTTAAATTTCTATCTTCATCCCCTCGAAACAATCGATTAAAAAATACAAACAAGCCACCCATAGAATATTTTTCCTTTGCACTACCTATCAACGATTCCCCACGTCGCTCGACTTCCTCCGCGACTATCCCTAGAACGTCAATTTAAAAATATTTCCCTACAGCAGTCGACAAAAGAAAAATCGATGTTCGAAAGTACCGTCGTAGCAGAAGACCCCTTCCCTTCACCGATATCAAACACGTTGCGCTCCGGAAGCATGAGTAACTTTTAAGTTCCAAACTTCAAGTCACCCCGCCAACAATTCCCGGGATCCCGGAAAGAATCCGAAGTCCCACGTTCGCCTTAATTCAAAACGATACACGTCTCTCTCTCTTCGGGCAACAAACATTCCCAGCTCCGTTCATCGATTTTCCCATTAGACAGTCCTATCCCCGTTCCCCAAGCGGACCGCCCACCCTCTCGCCTCCCCGAACTTTATCAATCTTTCCGGGAAGTTCCGGGAACTCGGGAAAATCGGATCCGCTCGCTAATTGTCGCCGCATCTCGATTCGTAATCGTCCGCGGGCCGAAGTATCTCCGATAGGCGATTAGTATCGAGGGAAAACGGTGGGAGGACGGGCGTGCAGGTCCGCGACGCGCGGTGCTTCCGGGCCAAGTTTCCCGTCCCGGAGGGCGGAAGGCGTCGAGCGTGTAATTCGAGGCGTCTCTGACCCCGGTGTTTCCAGAAATACCTGGAGCTGCAGGAGGAGCACTACGCGCTGAAGGAGATCTGCACCGAGCAGGAACGAACACTGGAGGAACTTGGGGGACAATTGAGCGCGGCCAAATTGGCGGCCGCCGAATTACGGGAGGCCGCTGACAACGCTCAACAGCACCAGCAGTACCAACACCAGCAGCAAGAGGGTGCGGCGACCTGGGCGAACGATCGCCTGGTCACCCATTGCAAGAGCTGCAACCGTGAGTTCAACATCACTCGTCGTAAGGTAATCAAACTTTTTAATTGCCCCCACGCCTTCCACCCGTCCAGCCAACCGTCTACACACGTATACACACGTATACGTTCAGCCAGCTGATCCTCTTCGTCCAGGCTCGTTGTACGTTCAGTCTAAGAGTCCTTTCGGCTGGAAGACGCGTTTAATCGTTCAATTATCCTTGCCACCTGTTCGGAGGATGCGGTTCACAACTTCCCTTTCTTTCATTCTGCACCAGAGGTGTTACACATTTTAGCCACTCTGAGCATCATTGGAAGAAGACTGGTTGTTATGGGCTGCACGTAAATTAGCAGCATGTTGAATTTGTATTTGTATTGTTACTGGATTTTTCAGTTGCAATCCCGTAAAGTTTGCGAGCTTATGATTTTCTGTTAGACTGCATTGACAATCGTCTTGGGCCGCAGGTTGGACAAGCGTGTTCTACGCAGATCTATGTTGTGCTGTTTCGTGCATACTCTATGACGAATAGCTATAACACTCCAAATCGTTTTCATTAATATGTGTCTTATTTCTTAAACACTAATTCAACAAAAATGAAAATCCACATTTCTTTGGAAGGATGATATCAATATTTTGATATCGAATATTAGACTTAAAGAGGGAGTCTCCTGCTAAACAGTCCCTTCTTAGGGCATTCTTTTTGTCTCCGAGCGAGGAATATTGCATTAAAAGGGATACTATTCTAACGAGTTCTCACCATTTTATTTGACGCCTATAAAATCCTGTCTTACGTTTAGAACAAAAGTAACTCGACGCGTGTGGCACGTCTTTCCAGAGCAAACAATTAACACTTTACCGACCGATAGCCTATTAATCGGCTTTTTATAACTGACGCTTAGTCTGAGAATTTTAACTATGGACGAAAGATACGAGTGAGAAGGGTGCAAGGGTAAGAAAGACAGAGCGAATGGGGGTGTGCGTTTAAACCGAAACAGAGCCGGCGCCAGGGTGAATCTGTGGCTGAGCGGCCGGTCGGTAAAGTGTTAAAACCATTACTGGTTCCGCGGACCAAATTTTTTCTCCAACCAGAATGTCCGAATGTCCTGGACGCGGCACGACATTGACGGGAGGTTCTATCGTGACGAGGGCTACACCCCTTCTTCAAGCATCGCACGACCCGGCTAATCCAGCCGGTAGATCGGAATCGCGTGAGCCGCACGCGGAAACTTTGATGCACGACAGTTCTGTTATTAGAGATAACGCGGTGTATCGCCGTTAAGCCTTGCAATTACAAGCGCCTCCCCCGCCTCCCCCCTGGCATTCTCCATCCTTTCGTTAGCTTCTTGCCACGGGTGTCCGGGTAATTGAAAAGATCCGCCGCGGGCTTGTTGATTCGATCTTATCGCGTGCTCGAGACTTTACGGGATTCGCCTTAATGATGAATCAGGCTATTTGCGTTCGCCGGCGGATTTCGGCGCGGCTTGTTGAGATATTGACTCTCTCGCGAGCCCGGCCGCTTGTTTGACCCTTAAACGGTCCCCGTTTCGGGTCGGGGGTTATTTACTTTATCGAAGATTAAAGTGTTATCGATGAGTCGTATTTTTGGACGCGCAAACATTTTTGTGTGCTTAATAGGAGGTTTTTTGAGTGAAATTGACCCTTCGGCGGATTTGGAAATTTGTTTCTGAATCGAGGAAAACAAGTTTATCGTGAGAGAGTTTTATGTTTCTTATTGTATCTAAGGAGTTGCTTTTGAGTCGTGTCTTCGGACGTGTAAACATTTGTGTGTACTTAATGGGAGGTTTTTTAAATGAAATTAACCCCTCCTACAGCGGATTTGGAAATTTGTTTTTAAATCGTGAGGGACAAGTTTATCGTAAGATAGCTTCTTTTCTTATTCTGACTAAGGATTGCGAGTTTGGTTCTGTTTGTTGGTGTGATTAGGAATGTTGGACGAAGTGTTCTAATGATGCGGTGTGTCGCGCAACAACAAGAGAATTTTGATGAGATTAGTTCACAGGATTAATTAGTTATAACACGATGAATATTTGCATTATGGATTCATTAACTTTAAAATATTCATAGTTTCAAATTTCGTGTAATGCGAAAGGAAGCCGAACGGCTTGCGCATACAGCTTTCCTCTAAAATCTCCCAATATTAACAGAAAATTAGACTAATAGAGGTGAGAAATTTACTCGTTAATCTCGGTGTGGTGAAAGATACGAATAATTCGTACGTTCTAGATCTTTTCATTATTCTGCTTTTGATACTTTGAATAGACCTTTAGAGGCGGCAAAAGATGTTGTGATAATACAAGAATAAGACATTAAGATAATTATTTAGAAAGAGGTTTCTCTCATCGATGTCTATGATTTTTGGTTATGTATACATTTTTCTTATGTATATGAAACGCGTTTAAACATTTCTTTAAACGATAACACTGCGTGATTATTGTACTTGTTTTATAATTAATTATTCGATGGTTCCATCCTCTAATTCGGCACGAAGGAAATGAAACGATGTTTTAAGATATAGTAATTTAATTTAAGATATAAATTTAACTCGTTTTTCGTTGAATCGTAATGATAATATCTTTAATGGCACTCTTAATATTTCCCAACACTATGATGTAATAAAAACTTAAACCCGTATTAATTGCCTACGAAATTTTAATGAAACGCGCGGATGCGGGTTCATGAAACCATCGGAATCGTTACGATCGGGCTACGAAGTTTTATGCAAAATACGAGTTTTATAGTCAACCACCGTAAAACCGATATGAAATAAAATTCGATTTTCTATATCAAGTGTTTCAGTCAGTTAAGAGCAATATAAAAAAAAGAATAAAATTCTGTGAACGTTCCCCTGTTATTCTTGATCTTTATAACCAATAAAGTGAAAAAATAAAAGTCTGCTCAGAATAATCGTAACTAAGCAGCGAATGTTTATATACTCCCATCACGCGTGAATTCCAAGTATATAATAAAACAAAACCCGCGATTCCATACAATAATTCTACTTCACATTCAATTCAATTAATTTTCTTTAAATGCTCGGTAATTCTCGTTTTATTTCTTCTCCTACTTCATTAACCCTTTCGCTACTATGAACGAGATACCTCGCGATGCAATATCGTAATTATGACCGTGGAAATTAACTAATTGCTAATATAGAAATGGAATATTATACCATATGGTTCTATAATTTTCAATGGAATATTCGAATTAACCGATGACTAAAATCCAGTGGTAAATATTGCAATATTGAAATGTAAGATATTCCCTAAACTAAGATATTTCACGTGAACAATATTGGGCAACGAAATATCTCATTTACAGCACTTTGCAAACAATATTATTTTGCGAGATATTTCGTCCCTAACACCTTACGAACAATATTGACGAAATATCTCGTCCATAAAATTTTACGTTACATATACTTTATATTCGCATTTAATATAATATCAGAAATAAAAGTGTCAAAACGTTATACATGCTTAGACACAATACATGTTCCACAATTTGTTTATATATTACTAAATATATTGCAAATTGTATTGCGCGTACACACCGCGAATGCAACTGGTTTCGATAAATAGCAATCCGCGGTGTACAATTTGTTTAACACGTTGACGCTCGCTCTGAAATCGGCGATAGACAACGAAAGCAATTCTATCCTTTTTGTTAATTAGTTGATTCTTGGGGAGTTCGATCAAGATTTCATACTTTCAGAATAAAATGATTATATTGTTTTCGATCAAAATTATTTTTCGACAATTTCTTAATCGCGTTATAGATGGTTTTACTCTAATCTTATAAACAAGTTTTAGGGGTGACTTTTGGTCAAGCACAGCTCGCATTACTTCGCATTACACTCACGCGTGCCATCTCGTCGAAGCAGTCAGGAAATTTAAGTGTCGAGAAGCGAAACGATGTCTTTACACCGGCGAATCGTCGTGAAAAGTAACGCCCATGTTTGTATGTGTGTGTGTGTGTGTGTGTGATCGCGGGCAAGGAAAGTTCAGAAAGCTTTCTTTTTTTTCCTTTTCTGGCTGAATCACGCGCCAGCACGATATAAGCACTTAAAGTATTCAGCCAGATCAGATCGTTCGGAGGTGCAGTTGCGTGCATCGATAAGGAAAGGCGGCAGTGAGTGTATTCGTGCATTCGTCATACGGATATATTCGCGGGGAAATTTATGTGCACCGGAGCCTTATCGAAATTTCATGGACGTGCACGATAGACACGATTTACTGGAGCTTCTTGGCGCCTTGCTAATGGCACTTCTACCCTTCGCCTTCATAAACGCGAGAGAAGACCCGATTTGTTCCGTTACACCTATTCGAATCGCCGAGAGGGTGATTTAGTTGTCATTCAAAAACGTTCACCGCGTCGACTGTTAAGCAAACACTCGTGAAAACTCGTACGCAATCGGCACAGTTTTCCTAACGCTGGACTAATCGAGCGTTTAACATAATTAATACGTAATCCTTATAAGAATTGTAACAATAGATTGATCTTTACAGTTACTTTCTTAACGCTAGAACTATCGAACGGGTCAAAATGACCCATTCCAGATTTCTTCTTTCCGCGATTATTAAAAAAACAGCAGATGCTTCTCTGGGAATTTTTAAAGAAATTGATTTAGCAATATGCAAATTGATTCACGAATGAATTAAAGTCTCAATAAATGCACTCTTGAAGTTTCTACGGAAGTTTCAAGAAGTCAATTTCAGTGCTCGGTATTTCTAGTGTTAAACTCGCGCATCGTCACCCTCAGAAGCTAAACGGGGAAAACTCAGAATTCCCACGGTAAACCGAACGAAAACAGATTGCCATCCACTTAGCACATCTCCTAATAATACCGACAAATGTAGAAGCGGTGGCTTGTCAAAGATCTCCATCATTCGCGCAACGAAAATAACGCTGTCGAATTTACCCCGAGAATTTTGTATTCCTCGCACTTCGGTAACTTTCGGCGTTGCCCGCATACTGAGAATATCCTTGCCGACGTAACGCCGTATAATTTTACCATTTAGTACCCTCCGGTA